ATGAGTTCACTTTTAACAAGAGTTCACGTACTTCAGTGCAATCTGTTTCAAATCACTTACAATGAACTAAACTGTTTAACGGGACACCATCTCAGTGACAAACATGCACAATAACAAAATACAAAATATGTAAATAGTCTAGCCTACTTGGCTTACCGGAAAATGATGTCAGCCGGATTCGGATCGAAAGTTCAAACTGAAATCATAGTCACAAAAATGCTTTACATAAGAAAATAACTCGGTAGTAAGGTAATAATCAATGTCTTATAAATATTAGTAAGCAATAATTTTCAAAAAAATAAAGCACAACATGCTGATAAAGAAAGAAACAAGTTGAATCTCATTCTAATTACGGCTGATATTTGTTTCTTCTTTATCCGGAACAAAAACGTTGTCGTTCGAATAATATGTTTTTCAAGCATATTAGAAACGTTGATTGCCGTCAAATTTTCCCGAATTTACCCATTGTCTTTATTTTCAGATGCAGTAAACGACATAATGTCGTCGTTATGATAGCAGGTAACTGAACACTTATGTTGTTTAAACCTATTTGCATATATACCTTAACCAATCCTGTTACAATAACTTGTCAGCAGCGCTTCAGTTTACTCCAACCAGCATACTGAACAGGTCCAGCACAATCACTTGATTAAGCTATATAGCTTTATTAAGCTGTTCAAAATAGCTTGATAAAGCTATTTATATGCAGTTTTTCACAAAAAAGTTTTTTGAAAGAAATAAACAAAAAGTCGCAAGTATTTGACTATTCATATATGTATTGGTATTCTATTATTTATTTTTTTTCTCTTCATATTTTATTATTATTATATTATATGTAATGTAACAGAGACAAGTTTGTGCCTCTGCTGAGGATCAAACCTGGGACCTCTGGCTTACCAGTCCAGTGCTCTACCGATTGAGCTAAAGGGTTAACCCACTAGCCCAAGCTAGTAGGATGCCATTAATCTAACACTACCACATGTAATGCTAATATACTGAAACGCAAAAGAAACGCAACAAGCAGTAATCTACAAATGTTTGATTTTTTTATCTAATGATTTTCAAAAATGATTACAGTAAGGCGAAACTCACTTTTCAGAACATCAGAGATTTGATAAAAATGTTAAATGTTTATCTTTTTACTTAACTGAGTATCATGTGACTGTTTAAACACCCCCCTTCCAGCCATTCAAGTAAAACAGGCAAGACTGCCCTAAACAACAATTGCATCTTAATTTCTACGATACAATAGGTTCATCAATATCGAGATCTGAGCGAATGAATAATTCTTTGCCATTTTTAAATGCCCGTTTTTTATATGATTAGGCAGAATTTTCTCTAACTTACAGCAGTGTAGCCACCCTTGGACTTCCGGTACAAGGGCTGTCCTTAATGCATATGATACGTAAGACCCTTTTGAGGCGTAATGTAGTTAATTTTTGCATCAGCAACTCTCCATCACCTTTTCATTGAAATTTCCAAGCTAGAGTAATGGAAATGCGTAATTAAGCCATTTTCAAGAAGCCTTGGCATCGTAGCGGGAAACGAAAGGAGAGATTATTTTTTGAAATATTGTTGCATTACTTATGATAAACATTACAAACCCTTAAAACTCCATAATATTGCCAAATATTTTGTTAAACATGCACTTTTTGATTTCTGTTAAGCAGACTCAAGCTTGACTTCCGGTTATGGTATGAAAATCGTTCAACCGTTAAATTACTGATGTTTACCAAACTGAAGATATCCATAATTTTAAGATACAAAATTCTCTACTTTACATAATTATTTTCCCTAAAGTAGTGTGTTGCGTTTCTTTTGCGTGTCAGTATATTTCATTGTGAACTACTCTGTATATCAGTATTTCAAATCTGAGAACTTTTACAAGTGAGGATGATGTCAATTTTGCATTGTTATAATAATGATTATATTGTTTGTCTCTTAATTGTATATGCCCCCAGAGGGCCCTTGATTGGTGAATAAATAAATATATACTATGTACTATGGACTATCAAAAATACAACTTAAATCATAGAAAGTTCTTACATTGCTGCTGTTGAATACTTTAAGCAAAATATGAATTTCCATTGTTTGAGTAACTATGTGTGCGGTGAGGCGTGTGTAAGTATGATTGCTTCTCATTGTGCTGAACTGTTGCTAATCAATTATCCTGTTGGCCATAACTGGCCTCCTTTATAATTTCATTCAAGAAATAACTGTGTGGTCACTCATCAATAGCCCCAAAACTTTTAAAACTTTGAGTACAAAATATCTCAAGGAGACGCAATTTAGTGAGTGATTTTTACATGCATAGTATTCAGAAGAGAACAAAGTTTAATATTTCCACTGCACCTAGGTGCGACTTTTTGCACATGTTGAAAAAATAACACACTTGAGAAAAAAGTCTGAAAAAATAGCTTAATCAAGCTATTCTGAATAGCTTAATAAAGCTATATAGCTAAATCAAGCTATATAGCTTAATCAAGAGATTGTGCCGGACCTGCTGAATGTTTCACAAATGAACATGCTGACAGCCTCATTCACTCTAGAAGCTTATAAATAACTTTTTGCATACATACCAAAGTAAAACTCAGAGAATGAAAGAAATTATTGTTTAAAAACATTTTAAAGCTTTTAACAGTTGTATAAAATAAATGTAAGAAAATGATATACATTCAATTGTACTTTCTTTTTCATACCATGATATTTTTTAAGTCAGAATCACATGGACTTGAGACAATCTTAGCAAAATCAGGTATATAGTATAATAGGGGAGAAGGGACCTAACGAGCCGCCATTAATTCCTCAGTGCCTCGCTTCAAACTCTAAAAACTTCGATTTTTATTAAAAAAAACATATGAAAAAGTTTTGCCAGTCGACAGGCAGAATGTTGTCTTTAGTGTCATAAATTTATCATTTACCTTACTTCATTAAACTTAGAAAAAAAATATGCAAACTTCCGAGAATTGGGTTGCCATCGTTAAACCAACACCATCTTTTTCATGCAATTTTCGTGCATTACCTGAATTTTTCCACACTTGTCATCTGTTGCACTCTATCTTACAGCAACGTTTAAAAATATAACTGCTTTTGGTCATCCTCACAATAATTTAGGGACAGTTGATCGTCCATCTCGAGTGACAAGCTCCATTTTCACCTTCGATTAGCCTCAGAGTTCAACCATTATAAAATGCATTTTAGCATAACTTTTCTGGAAAACTTTTCTTGCAAAAATTTAATTTTTAAAATTTATGTTATTGACTTGGCTATAAGCTTAACTTATTCCCTTTACACACTACCATCACACTACTTGGATCCGAGCTTCAAATTTCTAACATGCATCAAATTTAAAAGTGAAAAAGGTGTTGACCATAAATGTTTTTTTTTTTGTTATGGTATTTTCTGTCAAAGTAAGATGTATACTAGTATATTTAATATTTTTTTAATGTAGATATGCTATGGCCTCTGAATCCAACAAAGATAAAGAAAACCAAGACATAGAAAATGAAAGTACACCTGTCATTTCAACTGAGGAAGACCAAACAACACTAAAAGACACTGTTACAGAGAAAAACAATAAAGAAAGTTCCGGTGACAAAGATCAGGTCACACCAGGTTACCCCCTGCAGCCAAAACCTCCTGTAGTCCGGTTCTCATCTCACAAGGGGGATAACTGTGAGCAGGTGGAAGTAATTGAATACACAGACACCGAGGTAATGGACCCAGATTCATCAGCTGATTCCAGTTTATGCGGGGCTACAGCGGGGCCACATATAGCTCTCATGACTGTACTTTTAATCCCGGTTGCCTTTTTCCCATCATTAACGGTGGCCTTTTACTATGGTGCCTGGACATGGTACAACTTGTACATTTATTATAGTGAGGAGAGAACAGTTTGTCATAAGATATTCATCTGTCCTATCCTCATCATTACCTTCCCTCTAACTGTTGGATTGAGTTCCTTAGGAATAGCGCTATTTGCCGCATTTATTCAGATCTCTTGGTCTTTTTTTAGGTGGAAGATAGAGTTTTTAGATTTTGAAAAAGGTTTTTATGGATGGTTGTGTTGTAAGATAGGATTGCCTATGTGTTCTCCTTATGAGGTTTTAGAATACACAGATGATTCAGAACTTCAACCAATGAGAGCATGATTTTATTATTTTTACACTTAGGGACATGTTTACAAAAACTCAATCTTTATTTAAATTTGATATCCCAGTGGTTTAGAATTAAGAATTAGATCTAGATTAAAGAGAGTTTCATTGAGATTTATTTTTCTGTCCGTCAAAGAAGACAAAAGCATGTGTCAATTATACCTTTTTATGTCTATTTATTAGGTTAGTGATTTTATTGAATTAATTTGCCTTTTCAAGAAAAAATACTTATATTATTATTTTGTTAATGATCTCTTATTGTTGTGTATTTGTGTGTCACATGGTACCATGACTTATATGATGCTGCAGATCATCAGTGGAAATCACATTCTTTATGATCAATTTGATTTCCTCTGTAATACTGGAAGATAATTTTTTACTTTTTGTTATTTTTTTTTCTGTGGTTGTCTTTCACATGCTCATATTTTCTATGATATGTTTATAAATGTAGGTTGTATACATATTACATTATTTGTAATAATTCATTCTCCACTTAACAGGCACTACATTGTTCAGTTTTTATGTCTGTCCATTTTATTTTAATTTCTCCTTGGGTTCATCCACCATATGTCCACCAGTACAGTTTCATTTATGATGTGCAGGAACTGCACCCTCTGCATTGTCAAAGTCTTTGTGCAAATTATATGACAAAAGTCTAAAATTCTGTTGTTCAGTTATCATTTTTACTCATCTTTTTGAAGCTTGTACATGTAATTCTGGTTATGAAAAATTCAAAGATCAAAATATATGTATCTTATTGTACCCCCGGCTTGAAAAGCGGGAGGGTATATAGTAATCAGGATGTCCGTCTGTCTGTTACGCTTTGGGGTACCCATCTCTTATCTGCAACTACTCTCATGCCACTGAAAGGAATTTAATGAGATTTTCACAGAATCTTTGTTATATAGTGCCATTGTGCACCTTCTATTTTATTTTTTGATTGGACACACATTTTTGGTTTTCTAGAGTAAAACATTGACACTGCCATTTTTTTTGTGTAATGTTGAAGGATGTCCATCTCTTATCCACAACTCCTCCTATACCACTGAATAAAATTTAATGATACTTTCACATACTATTAATGATACTTTCACATACTTTATTACATAATGCCATTGTGACCTCCTATTTTACTTTTTGATCTGACACTTATTTCGGGTCTCCAATAGCAAAACAGGGACTTTGTCATTATAATCATATGGGAAGTGGGGGTATCATTTAGTGAGCTCGTTGCCCACAGTACCTCTAGTTGAAAGTTATATTAAATGTCAGGTAATATGCATTTTGTAAATGCTACATGTAATATCAAGCTGTTGATAGTATTTGAAATACCTTCTTTTCGGAAATCAGGGTTTCTTGTGTAGATATGAAAATATTCTTTTTTTAGCATATTGTTACATCATCCACAGTATGAACAAGCAACTCTCTTGAGCAATTACATATACATAGTTTCATTCTAAACATTTCTTGTTTCTCATGAACATAGCTGTGAATCAATAATTTTCATCACAATAATTAATATATTTATAAACACGTGAAATGTGCTTTAATTTACAGATTGTGTCCTTAAGCATTTATTCTTCTTTTACCCGGTACTCATTGTGAACTAAGTTTGGGGCCAATAATAACTTTTTTAAAAAGAAATATACATGAAAAATATTCTTTTAAAATTTTTCAGATAATATAGCTACTTTTGTCAGGATACTGGTTGATCTGTTTATGACTAACTACATTTTCTAGTTTATATTCATACACTTATTGTATTGGTGGAAATTCAAAGAAATAATAATACACATGTATAAGTATTATTAAAACACGCATGATAGTCTGCAGCCATGTTTTGCTGTAAATTTCAGACAGTGTATAACATGTATAAGTTAGAAAAAATATTAGCACCAAGTGCAGTTGTATTAGTGCTCATTTTTGTTTATTCAAGTTAGCAGTAATTAATAAAAGAACTGTTTAGTTGACTGTTAACAAAATGTATTTTTTATAAATACTAACATTTGAATGTTTTGGTAGACTTCTTTATGCTTGAGGCTCTAAATCATTAAAAATAAAATGTTTATCTAACTCTAGCTAATTTGTAATTTTAATTTTAGAAATATTATTTCCTTAAAATAAGAGATATATTGCCACAAAGCACTGTACACTTTGCTTCACAATGTTTAATCAGTGGATAATTTAATAAGACTCAATGTACTCCTTTTCAGCATTGGGGGGGTTCTTCAATTGAGGAGGGAGTCTTCAAATGTTCATTTGGGAAGAGGCACTTAAATTCATTCAGCCAATGCAATTGTTTGTTTACACCCTCACAGGCTATATATAGTTTCTGTAGCATTTGGAACAGAGGAGTAAGGAAGGGTACTACAGTAGAACTCATTTAGTACGAAAACGGATATTGCGAATTTACGGATATCGAAGTTATGTTGGATCCCCAGCTATATAAATTTAATGTTGGATCCCCAGCTATATAAATTTAACAAATTCCTTTTACCGATATAACGGATTACGGATATAGTGGTCCTAGTGACTTCCTTGTAACCGTGTTTTCGGTATCTATATTATATTATAATAAGAAACACATTTGGACACCTAACTTGCACATCAAAGACACCCCCCTCTGAAGTATTTAATTGAAACCTTTTTTTCTTTGGCCACATCCTCATTAATTTTTATTTTCTTAGTACTGAAAAGGGCAATAAATGATTATGTCTAACAAATATGGTTAAACCAAACAGAGGAATCTGTATTTCGCCCTTTTCCTTATTTATCCGTGAGAGGAAACACGTACTTTGGGTTAGATGGACGCCAAAAGAACCATTTGTGGCTATGCTGCCCAACATACACAGTTCTAGCTAACTCCTAACAACCATTCATTGACACCTATTCCATGTTAAACACTGTCAATTCTGACATATCCGCTGGTTAATTGCTTTATCTACCAGATATATGCGTTAGAAATTGAGACACACACAGCAATACTGTTCTCATCCTCGTTAAAATGAATGATGAAAAATTAAAATTTTCATATACCCGTAAAAAATCATCACGCATATTCTTAAAACAAAACGAAATTCACGTTTCATCTACGAACAATTTCTTATTAAATAAGTTACGAGGAAAGCCTATTTTTTTGGTCAGTGCAGTAGTTAGATTTTTGATTTGCACAGGTGTTACCAGAAACCTGTAGCTTACTCTAGACGAACTTCTTTAAAAATTGCAACATTTTGTCTACACTGAAAAAAAGGAGCGGGGCATATTTTCAATATAATAAATGTTATGTGTGGACAAAAAAAGGATAAAGAGGCAGCCCCCCCCCCCCACTTTATTCGATGCTACGTTCCAGAAGTACATGTACAAATACACGTATTTAGAAGACAATTTATTCTCTTGAGATCAACAGACGATTTTAAAAGTTTGTCAGTTGTGTATCAGAATTTTTAATATACTGGTAGTAAATCTTTGTTACATTGTAAGGAAAAGATGCTGATGAGATATTCTGCAATTATTCCTACAATGTTGTTTTTTCCTTTCCCTTTTGTGTTTGTGTGTGGGTTTTTTTTCGAATACACCGTATACAACGGGTAACGCGGGGGAGTCGCTAAAAAGTATGGGGGAGTCGTTTTCAACGTATGGGGGAGTAGATTTTCACCGCTTCGGAGTCGGAAGAGATATGGGTCACGTCTTTTTTCGGTATTTATAAGATGTATTTACAAAAAACAAATATCCCACGGAAGATGGCAATAGTTAAGCTTTATTTTGGTCATTTGTCCGGCTGTCATATACGTCTAGTTTTCTCAAACACTTCGAAACTATTTGTCAGTTTTCATATTTACGTTGATCGGATGGTAAAAACATGTATGATTTGTACAATCTACGGCTTGCGTAGGGATTCTCACAGTTAAAACAGCGAGAGAAAACGTTTATCTTTTAAATGCAACAGCTTAAACTTGACTAGACTTTATGAAAATTAATAATTAAGACATTTTCTCCTCAGACAGTAACGGTTACGTAGGGGGGAGTCGTTTATGGGAAAGCACATAACAGGGGGAGTCGCAAAATAAAGTCAAATTCATACTTGGTGTTGGTTTCATCTCTTTTATATTCTTTTATAAGTAAGTAAGTAAATATTTTATTATAGTGACATGTGTATACAGTAATTTTTAACATTCGATATACAATTAAACATATATGTGGAACACCCGGCCCATCGGACCTATAAGTCACTTTTAGCAATAGATATACAATAATTACATGCGTGTGATTTTTCTTTGTCTTATATTATAGGCTTTATAAATAAAATTTGCAGATTGACGAGGGAAATGAGTTAACAGACATTTAAAGAGAACATTTAAATCATTATAATGTAAATTTGAAATTCCAATATTTCTTAGAAAGTCTTGTCTACAGATTTTATATAGATTGCATTTTAAAAGAAAATGAAGCTCATCCTCTACTTCGTTCAGATCACAGAGGTTGCATATTCTGTCTGGAACTGGCTCTCCACGGTAGCGACCAGTCTCGATACGCAGGGGGAGCACCCCACACCGGAACTGCGCCATTGTAGACCTTACTGGTTTCGGCAAGTCCATAGCAACGTATTGTTCAAGACCGTAATCTTCCTTAATAATGCAATACGTCCGTAATTTTGCAGATTTTTGAATATCCGATTGCCATTTGGATTGCTGATTTGAAAGTTGTTTTTGGATAAAAGTTTGAGTATTACAAAACTGCATATTCTGGAAAATGTGGTTTAAATCTGTATTTTCAAAGAGAATTTTCATATGATGATACCAGATTCGGGAATTATTTTCATTACCAGACGCCATAAATATTTTCTTTGTAATCCTATCGTCATCCATGAGGATCATTTTATTCCATAGTCGCACCATGTTAGTTTTGTGTCGCAGACTGGCGGCTGACCATCCACACTCACCACGTACAGCTAAGAGAGGTGTTAATCGGTGAACCCCAAGGAAGTATCGTTGAGCCCGA